ATGCCACACCTCCCCCTCTTTTACCACCTTCCCTGATCTTACTGAAACATCTAAACCCCGGAACCTGCAACAACCATTCCTGTCCCTGCTCTATCCATGTCTCCGAAATGGCCACAACATCGAAGTCCCAGGTACCAACCCATGCTGCAAGTTCACCCACCTTATTCCGGATGCTCCTGGCATTGAAGTAGACACACTTCAAACCACCTTCCTGCCTGCTGGTACACTCCTGCAACCTTGAAACCTTATTTATGACCTCACTACTCTCAACCTCCTGTACACTGGAGCTACAATTCAGGTTCCCACCCCACTGTTGAATTAGTTTAAACCCTCCCGAAGAGCATTAGCAAATTTCCCCCCCAGGATATTGGTACCCCTCTGGTTCAGGTGTAGACCATCCCGTTTGTAGAGGTCCCACCAACCCCAGAATGAGCCCCAATTATCCAGGTATCTGAATCCCTCCCTCCTGCACCATCCCTGTAGCCACGTGTTCAACTGCTCTCTCTCCCTATTCCTCGCCTCGCTAGCACGTGGCACGGGTAACAAACCAGAGATAACAACTCTGTTTGTTCTAGCTCTAAGCTTCCACCCTAGCTCCTTGAATTTCTGCCTTATGTCCCCATCCCTTTTCCTACCTATGTCGTTGGTGCCTATGTGGACCACGACTTAGGGCTGCTCCCCCTCCCCCTTAAGGATCCCGAAAACACGATCCGAGACATCACGGACCCTGGCACCTGGGAGGCAACACACCAACCGCGAGTCTCTCTCGTTCCCACAGAATCTCCTATCTGTCCCCCTAACTATGGAGTCCCCAATGACTAATGCTCTCCTCCTCTCCCCCCTTCCCTTCTGAGCAACAGGGACAGACTCTGTGCCAGAGACCTGTACCCCATGGCTTACCCCTGGTAAGTCATCCCCCCAACAGTATCCAAAACGGTATACTTGTTTTTGAGGGGAATGGCCACAGGGGATCCCTGCACTGTCTGCCTGTTCCCTTTCCGTCCCCTGACTGTAACCCATCTACTTTTTTCCTGTACCTGAGGTGTGACTACCTCCCCGTAACTCCTCTCTATTACCCCCTCAGCCTCCCGAATGATCCGAAGTTCATCCAGCTCCAGCTCCAGCTCCAGTTCCCTAACACGGTTTCCAAGGAGCTGGAGTTGGGTGCACTTCCCGCAGATGAAGTCAGTGGGGACACTAGTGGTGACCCTTACCTCCCACATTCTACAGGAGGAGCATACAACTGCCCTAACATCCATTCCCACTGTTCTGAATTCCCAAACAGACAAATTAAAAAAAAATATACTAGTAGCCTTACCAAATCAGCGCTCAGAACCTTTTTTTTTTGGTTAGAGGAGGAGGATGGGTGGGAGACACTACCTCGGTAGTGTTTCGGGTAAAGCAACCGCCCAAATATATTACCTCACTTACTCCAAAAATGGAGTCACGCGAGGTAAGACTTTTATAACTGAAAAGCTCACCTTCCCAGGCTGCCCTCGCGCTTCCTCCCGGACTCCCGCTGCTGAAACAACTGAAAGTGCTAAACTTCTCCTTTCTGCATCTGAATTCCATGAAATAATAATTAAAGTGCAACATCCCCTGAGCTACAGCTTCTTGTCATTTTTATTCATCATTCTGTTTAAGGAGAAGTGTAGACATCAGTGCAGAAAAACAGCTTTTGTAACCTAAGGACATATATTCAACAGAGACCGTGTATTCTAAAGTCATTTGTGAAAGACTAACATTTGCTGTCGTGCAGGCAAATTGCTACTATCAACATTCTCCATTTTTAAGGTAAAAGAGCACTCTCCCTTGTGTTGAAGAAGCTGATCTCCCCTAATGCATTACTAGGGCATCTACCACTGGCCTGAGCAAACAGTCTCACCTCACTGCTTTCCAGAATCTTAACTGGACTGTGTCCAGGCAGGGATCAGATTGTACTAACCCTTCCTGCTCAGTGTTCTGCTAATGCTCATAGGCTACACTTGCACATGTAACAACCTCCACCTTGCATTTACATGGCTGCTTAAACATTGCAAGATTGGTGCTTTAGAGGACTGTTTCCAAACAAAATTTGACATTGAGAAAAGTGGCCAAAAGCTTGGTCACGGAGCTAGTAACATCATCAAGAAGGAGAGAGAGGCGGAGAGGTTTAGGGAGGAAGTTTCAGAGCTTAGGGCCCAGGCAGCTATAAACGTGAGTGCCAATGATGGGGCAGGGAAATAGGGGATGTTCAAGAGGCCAGAACTGAAGAGGGTTGTAGAATTCAAGGGCGTTACCAAGAAAGTGACAGATGAGTCCAGAGAGGGACTATAACCTTCACTGCACAGTATATAATGTACCTGAAAAAACTGGTAAAACACTGCAGCTAAGTAAAGCTGTTTTAATATTTTGCTGCAGGAATCTTTCAACATTATTCAACAAAAGACCTAAGTGAAAATGTCAAACCATTTTCTTTTCAGTTTAAAAGAAACACTATATGTCTATTCTAAATTTTAAAAAAACTTCATGATTGAAATACTGTTTGGTCGTGAGGGACCGTAGCCCCTGATGGCATTAACTGCATCAAGAGCATTAAGGAAATGATTCTATCCTGAGGGAGTATAATCAACTGCAGATAGGACTCATTCTTGGGACTGACAGAGCTCTGTGGAACTTGACCCGTGAGAGAGCCAATCGTATTATTAACTCACATTTTCATGTGAACAGTTGTCAGCTCATCCCTTATGTTAAAATCCAGATTACTCCCCTTTCACCAATGATTCTCTGATCTCCTCCATGAGGAGCTGTGACAGAACAAGAGTCAAAAAATGGAGAATGGCTCAAGTGCCATTTAATAGTTGGGGTTAATTTACTTTGAGTGTTAGAGGGTGAGCTATGAGGAGGTTGCAGACTTGCTTCAGTGTGATGTGAACAAGTTGTGTGAGTGGGAAAACCCATGGCAGATGCATTGAGGTTATCCACTTTGGGAGGAATAACGGGAAGGCAGACTATTATCTGAAGGACTATAAATTGGGAGAAGGGAATGTGCAATCAGACCTGGGTGTCCTCGTACACCAGCTGCTAAAGGTAAGCACTCAGGTGCAGCAGGCAGTGAAGAAAGAAAACAGTATATTGGCCTTTGTTGCGAGAGGATTCCAGTACAGGGACAAGGATGTCTTGCTGCAATATTACAGGGGATTAGTGAGACCACACCTGGAATACTGTGTGCAGTTTTGCTCTCCTTATCTGACAGAGGGGTCCTTGCTTTAGAAGGAGTGCAGTGATGTTTACCAAATTGATTCCTGGGATGGCAGGACTGATGTACGAGGAGAGACTGAATTGGTTAGGATTGTATTTCCTACAGTTCAGAGGAATGACGGGGGATGATTCACATAGAAACCTGTAAAATTCTACCAGGACTAGACAGGGCAGATGCGGTAGGGACGTTCTCAGTGACATGGGAGTCCAGAAACAAGAGTCACAGTCTAAGGATGGGGGTGTTTGGAACCGAGATGAAGAGAGATTTCTTCACCCAGACAGTGGTGAGCCTGTGGAATTTGCCACCACAGAAAGCGGTCAAGGCCAAAGCATTCCATGATTTTAGGAAGGATTTGGATAGGCCACTTTAGGTGAAAGGGATCAAATGATATGGGGGAAAGTGGGAACAGGCAATTGAGTTGGATGATCAGCCACGATCATAATAAACGGCGAAACAGGCTCGAAGGGCTGAATGGACTTCTCCTGCTTCTAATTTCTCTGTTTCCGTCACTTTCCTTGCACCTGACAATGTAAATGTTCTACAGATCTATTTGAGGATGCCTGTCCTGACCCCCTATTGCAGAAGAATAATTACTTTACAACAGGAAGAGATAATAACTCATTTTAAATGAATATCAAGGGCAGTTAGTCAGTTCTAACAAGAGGTTAAAGGAGTGTTTGTTTTGGGGCTATAATTGCTTTAAATTGTCTCAGAGAGTTGATGGAAGATCTTGAACAATGCTATCAAGATACCAAGTGGACTTGGCTGAGACACACTCATTCTTAATGATTAATTTCATTTTCATGTTCCCATTTCTGACATTCTCCATCTTAAAACAAAATGAGTGGGAGTTTGACAGGCAATAGTTTCTGTACACATCATCCTTACAACTGTAACTGAAATGAGAGGTAATACTTTCTTTTTTATGGCTACCATCACTTTATCATTGCAAACAGGTCATTTCCATTGTCACCCAGATCAATCAATCATTTTTTTTAAGGAAGGAAACAGTTCTGTTGCGATTATGATTAGGTTGTGTGTCCTACTAGGGACAAGAAAGTAGGAATTCTAGATTTTAGTCATCATTCTCTCTAGCTGCCATTTTGTTGAGGTAGGGAGCTCACTGTTTGAGTTTGTAACCTGATCCTCTAAATTCAGATCCAATTAAGCTCGTAATTAAATTGATCTTTTTTCAAGCATTCAGTTAGCCCAAAGCCAGTGTAGATTTCAAGGCGGTGTGATGGTTGTTCATAGAATCAAAGAATCCCTACAGTGTGGAAACAGGCCCTTCGGCCCAACAAGTCCACACTGAACCTTGGAGCATCCCACCCAGACCCATCCCTCATAACCCACCTAATCTACACCTCCCTGAACACTATGGGCGATTTAGCATGGCCAATCCACCTAGCCTGCACATCTTTGGACTGTGGGAGGAAACCGGAGCACCTGGAGGAAACCCACGCAGACACGGGGAGAATGTGCAAACTCCACACAGACAGTCGCCTGAGGGTGGAATCGAACCTGGGTCCCTGGCGCTGTGAGACAGCAGTGCTAACCACTGAGCCACTGTGCCACCCCATGTGTTGCCATCCATGTTTTACAAAGATTATAACAGTGCATCAAAAGCACTCATATTCCTACCATACACACGACTGCTCAACGTTGCTCAGTCCCGCTCAGTTATTAATACATTCCTCATGTCACCACTCCATTCTGGACTTTTGCAGGTGTTCGCCACCTCTCCAGTTGGTAAACTTACAGTGCACTTGTGTGGTTTCTCCCCTGTGTGTCGCCGCATGTGCACCACAAGCATGTACTGCGCCTTGAATGGCTTCTGTTCCCGAGAACAATCTCGCCACCGGCAAACAAACTCTTTCTTCTCTCCATGGATGTGCTCATTGTTAATGTGCTGTCGGAGGAAACAAACCAAATGGCTATGAAGCTTCTTCAGGAAGATCAACATTTTTATAAGCTTAATGGTAAGATCTCTGCACAAAACAAAAATGCTCAACAAGTTGCTCTCTTTTAATCTTTCTATTATTGAGCCATGTTTTTAGCCAAAATAATTGGTGCAATGAGCTGAAGTCCAGCTGAGAGTCATCAGCTCATTCAACAATTATATTCAACATTCAGCCAATACTTCCACTCCCGATAGCCCTCCATAAGGTCCTGCAGGCAAATCTGCACATGTGGGCTTAGGCCTGAGTTAACATCAGGATCAGGTTTAGCTATGTCATCCCCCAATGGTTATACAGCTTGAGAACTGTCACAACACCTGTCAGTCCAGGGACAATGGGACTCTGACAAATTTGAGTCTCACAAAGCCCCTAGAAATAGGGCCAGAAGAAAAAAATATCAGGATGACATATATTGCGCCCAATGATTTTTTTATTATTCCTTCACAGGGTGAGGGCATCACTAGCTAGGCACTTATTGCACTTTCCTACTTGCCCAGAGGGCACATGACAGTCAACGACATTGGCTGTGGGTCTGGAGTTAGATGCAGGCCAGACCAGGTAAGGATAGCAGCTTCCTCGCCTGAAGAACAGTAGTGAACCAGATGGGTTTTTACAACAATTGACAATGGATTCATGGTCATCATTAACCTCTTTGTTCCAGACTTTTATTCCTGCTGTGGCGGGATTTGAACTCAGGTCCCAAGAACATTATCTAGGTCTCAGGATTAACAGTCCAGTGATAATACCACAAATCCACCACCTCTCCACGCTGACAATACTTTTAGTTTACCTGTTCGGACATGTTATGATACACCTCCAGGGCAGGTGGGACTTCAAACTAGGCCTTCTGGCCCAGAGGTACGGATACTACTACTGCACCACAACAGCCTTCCCAATCAGCTTCTACATTCCAGATCTGTAAATCTGAAGGTGTACCTACACTAAATAGACTGCAGCCGTTCGAGAACACAGCTCACCTCCACTTCTCAAGGGCAACTAAGAATGGGCAATAAATGCTGCACCAACCAGTGATGTCTACATCCCATGAGTGAATAAAAGAAATAAGTGTTTTTTTTTGGGGGTGGTAAGAAAATTGGTTTAATAGCAGGAACCAGAGGGTGATGGTCGAGGAGTGTTTTTGTGACTGAAAGCCTGGTGTACCACAGGGTTCAGTGCTGGGTCCTGACTGGTTTGTTTTACACATTAATGATCTAGTTATGAATTTAGGAGGTACAATCAGTAAGTCTGCAGATGCCACGAAAAAATGGTGGCGTGGTAAACAGCAAGCAGGAAAGCCTTAGACTACAAGATGTTGTAGATGGGCTGGTCAGATGGGCTGAACCATAGCAAATGGAATTTAATCCTGAACAGTGTGAGCTGATGCATTTTGGAGGGCGAATAAAGGAAGGGGAGCACATGTTGAATGGAAGGATCCTAGCATGCACACTGGAACAGCAGGGTGCATGGCCATAGATGTGTGAAGGTAGCAAGACAAGATGATTAAAAAAGCAAATGGGAAACTTGCCCTTATTTGCCAAGGCACTGAATACAAGAGAAAGGAGGTTATGATGATTGTGTAAATAATGTTAGTGAGGCCACACCTGGAGTATTGTGTACGGTTATGATCGCTGGCCGGTCACTGATGCTCATGTTCCACGATGTTTTAAAAAAATCCTGTCAGAATGATAGAGAGGTGCAGAGCTGGATGAACACAGCAGGCCAAGCAGCATCATAGGAGCAGGTAGGCTGACATTTCGGGCCTTCCAGCATCTGCAGTTCCTACTATCTCTGTCAGAATGATAGATGCTTAGTGGCTGGCATGTACACGAGGGTCCAAAGGGCCTCCTTCCATGTAAAAGCGCGATAATTCTATGACTTCAATGTGGAGCTCCAGTACACCCACTAAGTTAGTTTCTCTGGATAACTGCCTTCTCCCTCTGGGCTTGCATAAGGGGGAAATTGAGACGGAATGGTCAATCATTGAACCTGGGAAAATCAAGATCAAAACTGCTTCACAACTGTTTCTTTCTGAAAGAAAGGAAGGATTTAAGACAAAAACATGTGCAGCCAATCCTTGGTAACTGTAATATTGAGATAAAGATCTCAATGATGCAACTGTTTACAGAAAGATAAATCTGTTGTGAATAGAGAAAAATGGAAACATTGCTGTTGTATTTATCTCACACCAGGTTAAATGACCAAAGTCCATCCCCCACCAACATTCAGAATTCTGACAGGACTATTGTACACAATGTGAAACTAAAACCCAAATCATTTTGTCTTTTTTTTCTCCCCTTAATTGAAGCTTCAGCCTATTCATGGGAGATGCTGCGCACAGTGAAACGAGAAATTCCCTTGCATGTGAGAAGGTTCCTAGATCGACAGTACATTTGACTGAGTTTAATTAGTTTTGGTGAAGACACGTCAGTGGGAGGGGAGGAGAGCTCGCATCTGTAGACTTCCTGTGCTGAGGGAGTGGGGTCCTGGCAATCGCTTGAAAGTCTCTGCAGGCGAATCCCTCAGCAGACTGACACACCAGTGTGTAATGGGAAACACATGCTGCTCCTGCTTTGCTTCACTACAGCACTGGTATGTGTGAGGAGATGCTAGTCTTTAGAAAACAAGCAAACTGAATGCAGGCTTGTCATCTATTAGCCGAATTCCACAATAAAATGCACCTGCTGTCAACAGCTTAATCCTTTGGTAAGAGGAAAGAATGGGCTTATGAAGAAGATGGGTCCTGGGAAGGGTGGCTATTAATTAGAGATCATAATATTTCCACTGTTCTTGCATTGTGAGTAGAGGATTCTATCCACTCCCACCCACACAAGCCTTTTCTTCTCCCTCAAGTACCCTGCTATTACTGCGCTTTTTACATCTGTCTCCACTTTCTGACTAAATAATATGTAAACAATTGACTTACTCCAAACAAATGCAATTTAGATTAATTTGTATTTCATTAGTGCCAATTGAGGCCTGGACTGGGAATAATCATCATTTTACAGGGTCCTGTGACACAGTGTAGGGTCCCTACCTCTGGGCCAGAAGATCCGGCTTCTAGTTAAACAGCCAAGGTCTTTTCTCCAGTGTAGGGGAGTCCAAAACTAGAGGGGCATAGGTTGAAGGTGAGAGGGGAAAGATTTAAAAGGGACCTAAGAGGTTACTTTTTCACACAGAGGGTGGTGCGTGTAAGGAATGAGCTGCCAGAGGAAGTGGTGAAGGCTGGTACAACCACAACATTTAAAAAGCATCTGGATGAGGATATGAATAGGAAGGGCTTAGAGGGATATGGGCCAAATGCTGGCAAATGGGACTAGATTAATTTAGGATATTTGCTCGACATGGACGAGTTGGACCGAAGGGTGTGTTTCCATGCTGTACATCTCTATGACTCTATGACTGGGCAGCATGGTGGCTCATTGGTTAGCACTGCTGCCTCACAGCACCAGGAACCCGGGTTCAATTCCACCATCGGGCGACTGTCTGTGTGGAGTTTGCACATTCTCCCCGTGTCTGCACGGGTTTCCTCCGGGTGCTCCTGTTTCCTCCCACAGACCAATGATGTGCAGGTTAGGTGGACTGGCCATGCTAGATTGCCCATAGTGTTCAGGGATGTGTAGCTTAGGTGGGTTATAGGGGTTTGGGTCTGGGTGGGATGCTCCAAGGGTCAGTGTGGACTTGTTGGGCCGAAAGGCCTGTTTCCACACTGTAGGGATTCTATGACTCTCTGACTAGTCCCACTTGCACCAAAGGAGTGCTGCAATATAGCTGATTTAACAGCTTGTTTTGTATGTATACAGTAAGGCAGGGCTTGGCGAAATTATCCACCACTTTTAATGGCAGACATTCTGGGCATTTTTTACACTGCAAAAAATAATTTGCATTGATACAGCATCTTTCACCCACTCAGGCCACTTACTGGCAAAAAGGTTTCTTTTTAAGTGTAATCGTTGTTGTATTCTAGGCAAATGCAGATGTCAATTTGTACACAGCAAGGTGCCACAAGTAGCGATGTGCTAAAGACTAAACAGACTGTATTTGGGTTTGAGCTCTGGCAGATTGAAAATGGAGATGACGAATTTGTGCTGGTTCCTGTGCTTGAAATATGCTTGGCTCCTTGAATGAAAATGTGATTGGAGGCTCATGTTTTGCACTGTCTCTGCGTTTCATCATATTCATGAACTTCCAAATTTAGCTGGCGAGGTCTTTACGTCGCTGGCAGGGGGCGAAGGGTACTATGTAACTGAAATACAACCACCATTATGTTTTTCTTGCTTGAGAAGAAACCATAGGCAGAGACCCAATTTTATCATGGGTTGTGGCACTTGTCACAATGGGGTGTACTGAGGGAAAGTAATTAAGTAACCAAAGCACTAGTGCCCCTGGGCTAATAATATAAAATCCCAGGCAAAGTATCTGGCAATTTCAAATCCTACAAATACAGTTGCTGGAATGTAACTTCAATCCATAAAGGCTGAAATTTAAAAGAAATGTTTTAGTAATAGTGACCACAAAACTATTGCTGTTAAAATCTAGCAGGTTCACTAATGCTTTTCAGGGAAATTAAACCTGTCATCTTTAGTTGGTCTGACCTACACATCACTCCAGATCCAAAACAATAAGGTTACCCTTCTTTGTTTTCTGGGGTTGGTTAGCTCAGTTGGCTGGTTCGTGATGCTGTGTGACACTATTAGCGTCAGATGAATTCCTGCACTGGCTGATGTTACCATGAAGCATTCTCCTTCTCTCCCTCTACTCTCATCTGAGGCATGGTAATCCTCACGTTAAACCACTACCTGTTGTCTCTCGCGAATGAGAGAGCAGCCTTATAGTCCAATAGGATTACAGTGACTTTACCGTTACCTCTGAAATGGCCTTGTAAAGCACATGCAGTTTCTGAGGAAGGGTCACTTGACCCAAAACGTTAACTCTGATTTCTCTCCATAGATACTGCCAGACCCAGAACCTTTCCAGCAATTTCTGTTTTTGCAGTCCAAGTGCAATAAGGATTAGGCAATAAATGCTGGCCTTGCCAACAATACCCACATCTCATGAAAGACTGAAAAAAACTTTCACAGAGCAGTTTTATTATTGGGACAACTAACTGTACATTGATGGAAGAGTTCATATCTACAAAAATCTACTTATAGCTTCTCAACTCATGTTTTTGGCAAAATATAGGATGTTATAATTAATTGTATATAGTACAGACAGTAAGTTGATGCTAATGCAATAGTTCTGGAAAATAAGCAGTAAATTAAGTTATAAAGACCGAGGCTGCCCAATAGCTTACTCACATCATACTGAAAGACAGCGTTTGGGGTTTAATTTCCTGGGCTTTGTCTAATTTCTTTGATAGCAAGAAGTCAGGGTTAACCACACAGGCTTTAAAATCCAGCAAACTGTCAAGGAAGTAAAACCTGAGCCGTTGAAACTGGCCAGTTTTAATCACAAAGAAGGTGATTTTTCTTAAACTCTCTGCTATGCTGAATCCCATACAATGTGAAGACTGCAGGGGATAAGGTCACGCTCAAATTGTGGGGCCTGCAGTGTGCGGGCAGAGGAATTATTTCAGTTAGGTTCGATGGTGCAGACGAAGAAAAGGTGTTTCCACTTGTTGATGGGACCAAAACCAGGGGCTAATAATAATCACTGATAAATCCAATGGGAAAGTTTGGATAAATGTCTTCACTCATTGAGAATATAGAACTCGCTGTTTCATAGAGCAGCTGAGGCAAACAGCATGGATACTTTTAAAGAGAAGCTGAATAACAGAATAAAAGAATAGATGTTGATGGGATGAGATGAAACAAAATGGGAGGAGGCTTCTGTGGAACATTAATGCTGCTGTTGAGCAGAAGGGTCTGTTTTCTTTGCTGTGAACTTTAAGGAACTGGTGCCCAACTCAGGCTTATTTGGATAAAGAGAATTAAGGAGAACAATTCAAATCAGGAACCACACAAGGAAAGGAAGAAATGTTTCTCTGTTCATCTCTGACACCATACTGAATGCACTGAGGTACTTCTGTTACCCTGGAATGTGATATGAGGAACAGCAGAGTCAACATATTTAAAAAAAGAACGTTTTTAATTAATTCACAAGATGTGGGTATCACCTGGTGGACCAGCATTTATTGCCTAGAAAGCAGTTAAGAATCAATCACACTAGTGCGGGTCTGCAGTCATGCGTAGGCCAGACCAGGTAAGGATGGCAGTTTCCTTCAGTGCCTAGGTCCCTATTAGTGACCTAGATAGGTGTTCCCAATACAATAGACCATGATTTCACGGTCATTATTCGGCTTTTAGAATTTTTTTTATTGACTTCACATTTTACCACCTGCCACAGCAGGATTCGAGTCCAGGTCCCCAGAAAGTAAGAAGCAGAAACAGAAGTTGCTGGAAAAGCTCCGCAGGTCTGGCAGCATCTGTTTCTGATTTACAGCATCCACAATTCTTTCGGTTTTTCCCCAGACCATTAGCTGGGTCTCTCTGAATGAAGGGTTGAGTACCAGAGAACACAGATTTAAAATGCTTAGCAAAACAATCAAAGGCATCTAAGGAAACACCTTTCTATGGAATGAGTGGTTAGGATCTGAGTGCACTCATGATTGCATGGTGGAGCAGACGCAATCATGATTTTCAAAAGGGTATAGAATAAACAATGTAAGGGAAGATCCTCGCATGGCTATGGGGAAAGGATAAGGAAGTGAGTCTTGCAGAGAGCTGTGATGGGCTCGATGGCCTCCTTGGGTGTTGTAATCATTCCATGATTCTATATGAGATCTTGCAATTTGCACGCCCAACAGACAGCTACTGCGTCACTGCGCTCAGACTGATTCCCAGCACTTGGATCAGGCTTTACTTACATGCACCAGTTGCTCCTGAGTGTCGTACTCTTTGTTGCACCCTTCCCAGTGACACACGGTCTCGTAAATGACCTCTGGCTCCTGTTTGCAATCATCTTTATCCAAGTCGTCCTTCACCTCTGTCAGCCCTGCCAGCCGATCCTGAGCAATTATATAAATAAAGGAAAGGAAGAGTGGAAACTGAGACATCATTATGTGAAATGCAACAGTTCTTGTAACAGTCTCACATTCCTCTGATCCGCTGATGTTGTGACAGATATAAATTCAAAGAATTAACCACCTCAGAGGTCATTTAGACACCCAGTGCAAACAAAATCAAATTGAGAAACAAATTATTCAACTTCTTTTTACCCTTTTTGAAGTTTGTTTTTTTTGTTGTCTTAATATATTTTCCTTTAGACCTTTAATCATATGAAGAGATAAATATGTTGCTAGGCAACAGTTCTGTGAACTACCATTAAGAGGCACACACAGAGGGCCAAAAGCACAATTTTGGCTAATTTCACACCGTATTCCTCACAGGGATACCATATTTTAACTCACAACTTTTCTACTCCTCCCATTCCTCTCCTAACCCTATCTCCTCCTTGCCCCGAATCTAGCCAGGAGTGGGAATTCTCATTCCTAAGGAAAATTCCAGATTGGTGCAACAAAAACTGGATCCTTTGTGGGTTTGATTTAGAAGAGGACTGAAAGGAACAGATGAGATTTTAAAATATTAAATACTAAAAACAGCCAAAATTCTGATCAGCTGCAAAAATCTGGATTGGGTTGGGAACACTTGACTGAATTAAGAGTAACAAGAGTGGGGGCTGCAGTAGGAGTACCATAGCACCCTTATGAAGGAAAATAAGGTTTAGACAACAGAATTAAAGGTACTAACTACACTCCATCTCAGAGAAACAGAAAAAAAACCCCTCTGAATGAAGTTAAAACCCACATTGAGTGCACAAGCAATTTGTTTGCCCTAATGAACGTACTTTACCGATCAGATATTAATTTCTTTCAGATGGCAATTGTGTGTTTTTTTAAAAATTGTCTCATTAGCATCTGCCCACATCGCAGCTGGAGATGCTTTTAGGTCATGCGCTTGCTGCTGTTGACGCGCTCTAAACTTAAAACTCGTGAGATGTGGCTCCTGCCCCGAACGTGCTGACTACAGCATGTTTATCTTTCTCTGATATGCTATCTTCATCAATTTTGCTGGCCCCAGATGATTATAAACATAGCCGTCCCCATGCATCATGCCAAAGTCTGACTGGGGCTGCCTCTGGACTAAAGCAGAACAAGGAATTAGTCAAAGCCGGTGCTGTCCCAGTGACAGCGAGATATTGTATATTTCATTAAAATGTAGTACAGGGACACTTCTCGTAGTTTAAAGTTACAATAAAAAATGGTTTAAAAAAGGGAGATAAATTGCTCTTGCTGCTAATTCTCACACATCAGAATGGAAAGAAGGCCAGGAACTAAAGGTTTCGCTGTATCAAATCTTCGTCTCTTTGACCAGTGACAGGGAGATTGCAGTGCAGTACTTTATAACTCTGAGGTAATAACCCATTAGTAACTCTCCATTGCACAGCAGACAGCTCCTGGTGTTGCACTGAGGAAAGAGTCTGGGACTCAACCTGGCATTATAACGGCTGGTGTTACCATTCATCTTTTCTCACACTGAATCCTGCATGAGTACAAGGAGCTGCAAGATAGCCCGACATTGGAGCCATTTCTGGGATCTGAGTTAATGAGCATTTGTAGCTGAACAGTTGTATCAAAGAAAAGTGTAAGGTGCCTGTTCACATACAGTATTGTCTGTCTGTTGCAAACAAACCATGTTTTAAATTTTGCATCTCGACTGAAGTTTTCCTTGAATGCGAGTAAATTACATGACCAAATTTTCTGCCAATCCAAAAAAAATGACACTTTAACAACCTAATCCCAGACAACATTCTATTTTGAATCCAGTAGCAGTACAGCCACTCGTACTTTTCAATAGGTTTTTCTGGGAGAAAAGATTACTGTTTTTGCACTAGGATCAGTGTGAGGCCATTCAACCCCTTGAGCCTGTTCTGCCATTCAATGAGATCATGGTTGATCTGTGGATTATTTTACAGGCATTGAAGGGGCAAAATTCTTGGTAACATGTTAACTCTCTCCTCAAAAAGATGGGGAGGGGTAGAAATAGAAACAATGTGCAGGAGACCAGGTTGGGATGGGGGAGTTGGGTGGGGGGAAAGTGATGTCAACATCAATACACCATATAATGTAATCTAAGTGAATATTTTCCTAAACTGAGGATGATGCGATAAGTCTACAGCTCCTGGGTGATTTTAGATGATTTCTTGTTCCAATTTAGAAACTGCGCTCATCAAGTATCAAATTTATCACTGATGTCCCTTCTCAAGGGTGGCAGACAAAGAAGAGAGGAAATTGAGGGTCTATTACTGTAGTGGTTGCACTACCAGATTAGCACTCAAAAGGCCTGGAGTACTTGTCCAGATGATGAAGCCAGTTTGAAATCGAATTCGGTTATCGAATTTGGTTTTAACAAACTGGAAATAAAAAGCCAGATTCAGGAAAGTCAGGCATGAACTTGTTGAATTGTTTTACTCTAGTGGAGACCAAAACTAGGGGTCATAACTATGTGATAGTCACTCACAAATCTAACAAAGAATTTAGGAAGAACACCTTTACTCAGGGAGTGATCAGAATGTGAAACAAGGTGAATTGAGGTGAATGGAATCGATGCATTTAAAGAGAGTCTGAATAAAGATGTGAGGGAGGAACGGAATACAAAAATATGCTGATAGGATTGGATAAAGTTATTTAGGGACAGTCATGAGAAGCATGAACACCAGCAGTGTACAGGTGGGCTAAATAACCTATTTTCATATTGTGTCCTCGCTGACTCGTATTAACTATGCTAAGTTTTACTGAATGGCAGAAAAAATACACAGGTTCTAATTTGCTCACCTCAGTACTTGGAGAGATAGCCCGGGGTCCCTCTACCTCAGTTTTAACTTTGGTGCGTTTGTTGATCATCGGGTCAACAGTACTGCTCACAGCAGACTCACCACTCAGCTTGCTCTAAAGAATGGAAACCAAGACTTGGTTAGAGGAAAGAATTCAATCCCACAGTGCAAACATATGAACACAGCCAAGTGTGCTCACTTCAAGGTTAACATTTTTGTTTCAATGTCGTGTTTGCCAAATCAGTCTTTCTTTCGTATTATCTGTTTCCTAGATGGGGTCAAAACTTAAATGAGTCTTTACTGACAGTGGAGGGGGTGTGGGTTTGGAGGTGAGGAGGCAGTGGATGATATACTCAGTATATGAAGATGTACCAGTTTTAGGGGCTGGACTGACTGTGGTGTGATCTACAAAACAGGTTAGAAGTAGAACAGAAGACCTAATGCTCAACTCTGTCATTTTACCCTCTCCATAAAGCTTCAAGACGCTCCTTACTCTACCTGTAACATTTCCATTTCCTGCACCAGCCAGCCTCATGGTCTCTCTGAGTGATATTAACTCAGTGTTAAATAGAGTCAAATTCTGCAGGCATTTTACACATTCATGGGGAACTGTGTTGAGACAGTCAGTGGAGAAAGATGATGTTTATCAGTTTGTTCTAGTTTGGAGTCCAACTTCCCTGAGGTCATAGCACAATGTGCTAACCCACATTCCCACCTGCCAATTCCTTTCGCATCTTTTCTATTCAAAAGGTGCCACCCACAGCATCACAACAAAAATCCTGTCCTTACCTGAGAAGTTTCAGTTGAGGCATTATTGGCCTGGCTGGGTGGCAAAACAGCGGAGGTACTGGACATGTGCTGCCGAGGAGGGAACGTTGGTGATGGCTGTATAAGGGGTGGAGTGTGGCCAAATGCAGAGTTCAGGCCGCGTTGCTGGTTCAGTATCTGTTGGTGCATCTGGAATGTCACCGGGTTGATGGGGTGAGGAAAACTGAACGCTGGGCTGAAATCAAACAGTACCAGAATTTTAAAAAAGATTCAGATTTCTTTTGTTTAAATAAACATTGGAACACACAGCACTATAAACACTGCAAGCAACCAAGAATAATATGCTGCAGAAAAAGGGTCAGTCTTCTCTTAAGGAAATTCCATCACCTCCTTTGGTTACCAGTTGACCTTAAAATATCTTGAAGTGTCAAACAGATTTAATCAGCAATTTCAATGATATCTGCTCTGGTTAATCAACCAATTTCTTTTTCAAGAAACAATTTTTGATTTTTTTTCATCCTTTCATTTACAGTTTCCTGCCCCACACTTTTAGAAACCCGAAGTACATTATTCTGATAAAAAATATGTCTGGACAGAAGGGCAGAAGACTCCTGTAACTTAATATATTATTGTCGGTCACTCAGTCCTTGCAATTTGCCTTGAACTGACTGCTCTGACAGGTAAGTGTGCTGGGAATTGAAACCAAGTATAATGAAAAGCTCAGAAATACTCAGCAGGTCCAACAGCATCTATTGGGAGAGAGATTACATTTCAAATCACTAACTTTTCAGTCGCAATTTAACCTGTTTCTTTCTCTGCAAATGCTGCGAGATCTGCTAAGTATTTCCAGCATCATCGGTTTTTATTTCGGATTGCCAGGATCCACAGTATTTTGCAACTATTGCTTTGCATAATTCAAACCCAAAAAGTACGCAAATGTGATTTCAGTGTATACAGAGAATGAGTCTATAAAATCACACACCTCTGAAGTTGATTTAAGAGGCATTCATTGATATAAGTGTTTATTTCCTCCTTGTTTTCCATCCAATTGCTCTGTCATTCATCCATGTGGGGCTGTAAAGTGCAGTGAAGCCTCAAAGTGACACCAAAGCTACCTCTGAGTTTTGTTGATGCAGACGGCTATACAATGGATTGATGACGAAAGCGTCTCCATCTTAATGTTTGGCTGAGATTGGCATCGCGCATCAAAGTTTTACCTCACAGGGTCAAACAAAGTAAGCTCAGAGATTACAGTTGCCTCAGAATTTGTACACTTAGGTGGACTTTAATGTTGGTGATGGATTTTTGGAGAACGAGTGATAGACCCACATCTCCATGGTTGGGGAAGACCCACTCGAACTAGGCATCTAACTGGCCAACATGTGCTTTCTGAGTGTTAGGACCCGAGGGTGGGCAGGTCCATTGATCTCCTCCAATTGCCCCATTCCCTTCCAAACCCAGAGCTGCTGTCCAATTAGCTCCTCACTTTCTACCAAGCTTGGAGGGTCACCTACCAATTGCAGGCCAGAGAGGAGTGAGGGCGGGTAATCATTTCTGGACTGGGTGGGGTGGCACAGTGGGAAGAAAGGACAGCGCGCAGCCTCTCAGCAGGTACACACCCCCAGCTCGTTTCTCCTGCTACCAGCTCCCTCAATCATGCATTGAGTGCAGGTAAGTGAGGAAACCTGGGCTTGTGTTTCACGGTCCTGTGTCATAACTTCGCTTTGGCAGCACGTGTAAAATTGGAACGATACAGAGAAGATTAGCATGGCCCCTGCGCACGGATGACATGCAAATTCGTGATGCATTGGGGCAGCACGGTGGCTCAGTGGTTAGCACTGCTGCCTCACAGCGCCAGGAACTCAGGTTCGATTCCACCCTCGGGCAACTGTCTGTGTGGAGTTTGCACGTTCTCCACATGTCTGTGTGAGTTTCCTCTGGATGCTCTGGTTTCCTCCCACAGTCCAAAGATATGCAGGCTAGGTGGATTGGCCATGCTAAATTGCCCATAGTGTTCAGGGATGTGTAGTTACAGAGGGATGGGTCTGGGTGGGATGCTCTGAAGGTTGGTGTGGACTGGTTGGGACGAAGGGCCTGTTTCCACAGTGTAGGGATTCTATGAACTCCCCCCGATCCCCCACCCCCGCTGCTGGTGAACATCAGCATTGGTGGAACAAGGCAGGGAGGTAGAACGATCCCCTCCTACATACCTCCCATGTGATTAAATGCCCCTGTCCAACTTCAAACTCACTGGTGGGCAATTTTGCCTGTGATTTCTGTTGCCAGTGACCTAGGATCAGTGTCGATGGGATATTTATTCTGAATTGTTTTTTCCAAATATGGACGAATCAATCTTCTGCAACTTGGTTTTTGAAAGAGTGGAAGTTTGTTATGCTAGAAATGACCAGCAGCCGTTCTGTTGACTAAATGCTTAAAAGGACTTGGATCAAACACTACGCCCCATGACTTCAGCAGAAACATCAGTCGGATTTATAAATAAACGGGTTAGTTCCTCTGTTAAACTTAGACAGGAATTTAAACATTCGAATTTAATGTAGCATATTATATGGTAAAATACAATGAGCAAAACAACAGCAAAGTGTGGACTTTCTTCAGCTCAATGATTTGAATCGCTGGACGTTCCTAATAACTCGATTACATACCTAACTTAACATACATCCAAGAAAATTCAGGGCCATTTGGAAAGAACTGCACACTGAACTTATGACCCCGGCTAATCAGCACTTGCCAGTCGGCCAGCCAATATTCTGACTTTAATTACGGGAGTACTGCTGAGAGCTGTGTCTGACTGGAATGCAGACAGCATGACAATCACTCACCAAGACTTGTAGACCACGCACGAATTACCCACAGTCGAACCGTCCAGCCTCAATTACAATTGGTCAGCCGGCAAAGCCGGGCCTACTCAGCAAAGTGAATGCCTCACCTGATAGCACCAGCTGATAGATGCCCGTATGAGCCACTGGCTGCTGAGCTGCTTCGGGAGTTGTTGATGTAGGCCACCAGAGAGTTGGGGGATGTCCTGATCATAGTCTGCAGGTCGATGCTGGCGTCAGACAGCGGCGAGATAGACAGGGCCCGCTTTCTGCTCATTCTCGCAGCTGGCCGAGGACTCGAGAATCTCGAGACTGAGAAACAGACAGTGGACAACTTCAGTGACAGGCTAAAAACAAAACTTAAGTGTTTATCGACTGTGACAGAAAAATCTTGTTTCATAAGTCAGAACTTTAATCATTTTTCTCAGCGCAATTGGTATACTGAAGTTATTCCAGTTTTGTCAAAGGTTGACTCATCCAAGTCGCATGCAGTGAGCTTAAAAGAAATTAAACTGTTTAATTTCAGAGTGAATGCTCCCTTCTAAATCTTCGGTACAGCGCACATTGGACTTGTGTCGTTTTCTTTGTTCTTTTCCATCCTAGTTATACTGCACCAGATCCATGTGATGTGCGTGAATTCTTAAAAAAGATACAAGCGAGCACCTGCAATTAAACAGGCCACTGTGCCATTTTTTGAGCATCGAAAGCAAAATTCTGTGATTAACACCATTAAATATACCGACAAAACTTCTGCTCAGCAAACGCCCAATGTTAACATTGCCAACTCTGGCCTAGTGCACTCCTGGAGATTTGATCATGTGACACTCGATTAGCTATGACATTCAACCACATTGCTCCACTAACCAGATTATTCACCCAGTATTGGAACATCTGATGTCTATACATTGTTTACCAATGTTATGGCATATCGTTTTCTGGCATATGCTTTTATGAGGTGAATAGAAATTAGAACGGTTTAACTTATTTTGAATTAATAACAATATCTGGGAAGTTTCTACCATTTCAACTGCAGTTAGTAGCATTCAAATATACCCCAATGATTCAACAAAAATATCACTGATATAAATAGCTCATAATTAAAAAAAATTTTGTGCTACTTTCTGACAGTGTACAATACATAGCAAGTTATAAAAATAATATGTATAAATCAAAATGAAACAAACCCCAACAGCCAATTTCTGAAGGCTAGCTTCAGTGAAGTGAACATGGTCCTTGGAGGAAAACTTTAATATATCTTATCCAGGAATAAAGCACATAATACAACAATCCTTATCACATGCAGGCACAAGCTCTCCCTCCCTCCAATTTAGTCACCCATTCCTTCTTTCTAGAGTTTTGGTTTCTCTCTCCCTCCATTCCTAAGTTTATTTCTCTCTCTTTCTTTCCCTCCCTCCTTTTCACAATTTGTTAGGATTTTTGTTGTTGACCCTCTCCTTCCATCTGCCAGATTGTGTAAACAAACAAAAACAGAAATTCATGGAGAAACTCGTTTGGTCTAGCAGCATCTATGCAGACAGAAAACAGCATTAACGTTTCGAGTCCACTGACCCTTCTTCAGAATTTCTAAACCGAACGTGAAATGATAACTCTGTTTCTCTCTCCACAGATACTGAGTTTCTCCAGCAGCATCTGTTTATGTTTTTTCTCAGATCGCCAGCATCCTCAGTTCTTTGTCTTATACCAGATTGTGTTGCTCTCTCCCGCGTTCTCAAGTACTGTAACTTTCTCCTTCTCCCTTTTCTTCTCTCTCTTCATTCCCCCCCTCCCCACGTTGTCCACTGAGGTGATTTTCACTGGCCCCATTTCTGCCATTCACACATCCAGTAACTTCCAAAATGATAGGATTGGCAAGGCTTAGACAATGTGGCTACATCTGCCAAGGGCACTGTACATTGAGAACCGCACATGCAAGGAGTGGTTCCCCAGACTCAGCAATTGTATTATTCGGGAGACCAATTTGAGTGCTGAAAGTAGTGGAAACATTTAAAGAGCCGATGGGTAGGTTTTAGATAACATTAACAAATTAAAAGCACCTCTTTAGCTGCTAGAGGTAAGTTTCAAGTTGGCTGTACATTAGCGACATGAGCATAACACCACAAATGGAAGGTCAGTCTTTTCAGGCAGTTTCTGTATCAACAGTAAACCCTTGGTATGTGTGAAATTGCTGATGTTGCTCTGCAGGAAGCAATGGGCAAGTACTTAACTCACTAAGAAAAATTTGCTTACACAAATTCATCAAGCCAATATTTATATAAAAAATATAAGATGTAGGAACAGAAGTAGGCCACTCAGTGAGGTAGGTTGTGGCTGCTTAGATAATCGTCAACTCCACTTTTATACCTTTTTCCCATAACCTGTGATTCCCTTAATGGTTAGGAATCAGTCTATGGCAGGCTAACTGTGATCAGCAATATGATAGAAACTTAACCAAGTGTAACTGCAATTCTTGGTCATGCAAGGATGTTATTGTACCGGTCATGATAGCTGCCTGTGTGTATGGGCTGGAACTGAATAACGGAACACCCTGTGCTATATAGAGAGTAACCTGACCTGGGCTGGTGCAGGATGAGATAGCAAATAGAATCTAAAATTGTTAACGTGCAAAAGGAGGCCATTCAGCCCATCAGGTCTGCAGTGGCTCTTTGCACAAATGGTTCACTTTGTGCCAAATACTGTTGCAGAAAAAGGAAGCTTCCAATGGAGCAAGTCAAATCCTTGCGAAAATTAAATCTGAGAGTTCAAATCTGATTCTTTCATCCTAAGATGTACAGTACTTGAAGGGCTTTTTTCTCAATAAATTCACTAACTCCTGTAGATGTTTTTTGAAACCTTTCGGAAGTCTGTATGGCTCAGTTGGAATGGGTGTTTCTGCCTGTTTCTGAGAAATACAATATAGAGTCATACAGAAAACAGACCCTTCGGTCCAACTCGTCCATCCCAACCAGATATCCTAAATTTGCCAGACCCATTTGCCAGCATTTGGTCCATATCCCTCTAAGCCCTTCTTATTCATATACACACCTAGAAGCCTTGTAAATGTAGCAATTATGCCAGCCTCCATCACTTCCTCTGGCAGCTTGTTCCATATATGCACCAGCCTCTGCGTGAAAAAGCTACCCCTCAGGTCCTTTTTAAATCTTTCCCCTCTCACCTTAAATCTATGCTGTGTAGATTGGACTCCCCTACTCTAGGAACTTTCCAAGAGGCAGCTAATTGTTCTGATATATGAAAATATTTCTTAAGTCATGTGCAAAAATATAATGGATTATGTACTTCATATCAATCACTTCTGCGTTGTTGATATGAGAGCATTTGTGACATTCCTCTGCTCTATAATGCAGGAATTTGCCCACTTATTTTAAATTCATTAATACCACTGGCAAGATAGCAGAACAAGGCAGTCTGCTGAGTATCACAGAGTCTTCAATTAGTGGAGGAAATATCACAACGCACCCTATTTTTAAGGATAAGGCCTCACTAACTTACCTGAAAGTTCAAGAATTTTCAATCAGTTTTTTTTAAAAACACAATCGGAGATGAACAGTAATTCTCATTCTTAAATATCTCTGAAATATTGAAAGTGTTCCTGCGGATAAAAAAAACTTGGCAAATGTTTTATTGTTTAGCTTGTGAGAGATGCCATGCTATACCACCTCAAAATTTTGCACAAATGTCATGATACATCCCAAAGTTTTCAAGAACTATACTCCGTGTTTATAAACAAACCAGTGTAAAGATGAGTTGTACATCTTGAATGAAGATAATGCCCTTGCAATTCATAGCATGAAACAGCACCAATGGATCTGATTCACAAATTCCTTCAAAGGAGCTATCTTAATTTTCTTTCATTCGTGCATGGGATGTAGCCTTGGCTAACTGTTGTTCTTGCGAAGGTGGTGATGGTGACTGTCTTACTGAACCACTGCAGTCCTTGGGTGTGTAGGGACACCTACAATTCCATTAGGGAGGGAGCTCCAGGATTTTGACCCAGCAATGCAGAAGGAATGCTGATATACTTCTAAGTCAGAATTGCATGTGACTTGGAGGGGTGCTTGCCAATGTAGAGATTCCAATGTATCTGCAGACTTGTTTTTCTATGTAGTGGAGGTCACAGGTTTGGATGCTGCAGCTCCACTCCCTACTGTTTCCCCATATCCCTGCAAATGTTTCCTTTCCAAGTACATATCCAAAACTCTAGTGAAACTTATTACTGAATCTTTGTCCATTGCCTTTTCAGGCAGTGTTTCCTGATTGTACCAACCTTCTGCCGAAAGGAAAACAATTCTCCTCATTTCCCTTCTGGTGCTTTTGCCAATCAATAGAAAATTACTCTTAAACAGTTAAGTATGCAGCAGAACTAAGCTGCTGGGATACAGTGTGCTGAAATACTAGGGATTGTGGGAACGACCAAATTAACACTGTTTCAAAATTAATAGAAAGTCTGAAAATGCGTATAAGAAAAACATACGAGCTTTATATTACCTGAATTTGCATTCCCACAGTCCCGTGCTTTCTATGGGCTTGGAGATGCAAGTTAGATTTGGCAGTCGTATTTATCTCTGTTATCCCCTCACCTCAGGGGACCTGTGTTTATTAATGTGCCACTTCCCATGATAAATTACTAAATAGAAAGAAAAGCCTTGTACTCATTTCTCCCCCCATTTCCCGTGATTTATGTCTATGATGACTGCTCAAACATTGGCCCCCATTAATTTGCAGGCATCGGTGTGACGTCCACTACCAGCTCAAGTTTATTGGTGTGTCTGCTGGTCGGCTGAGCAAATGTAAACCTAATCTGTAAAGCTCTGTTGAAGAATGTCATGTTTAGTAGACTGGTCTGGGACATTTCCAATACGTAACGAGTAACAGGCATTTCATTTCTGTCTCTTCTAATTTTGGTCTTTGGGGCCTCTGAAAGTCTCAAGCCATTACACTGCAGAGACTTTAAATACTACATCTATTCAGACAGGAGGACAAGGAACTGCAGTTTATGAAAGGAAAACTGCGAGAACTGGAATTCTGACATGTGGGGGGAAAAATACTGGAGATTCACGGCGAATTGGACCGAGAGGAGGTTAGGTTAGCTTCTTGGGTGGGACCTCCTGTTGAAGCCCGTAACATTCAGAAATTTGTTTAACTATTTATTGATCTTGCCAAGTTTTAAAGGTCGGGAGGTCTTGTGGCTCAGTGGACACCGTCCATGCCTCTGAACCAGAAATTCGAGGTTCGAGTCCCGCCCCTACACTCAATGGTCAGAGAAGGTGTGTTCATAGTATGGTCACTTTATCAAT